GTTATATTACCTTGTCGACCATATGGTATTTGCTTCTTGAAGCCTAATACATTCTAGTGAGTCATATTTACTACGGAAAGAGAAAGTCCTGCATAGAACTCAATTTTTAATGCGCAATGCCTTGGTTATTGAATTTGAAATATACAATCCTGGACAAAACATCTGCGACACATCCAATTACTTGACAAAATGTCTTAATATTATCGTAAATTTAGAAAACCTCCCCCTTTCCCCCCACCTTTCAATGTTGATTGCATTCGTAGAATACGGATAAAACGTCCAACATTGTTTTGGGGGGTGGAGGGGGGCAAACGAGTAAATTATTCCGGTCTAACTGGTAAAAAAAAAGCCACAAAGCAATGTTTTAATAGAGTGTCGCAGATGGTTTTGTCCAGGATTGTGGCTCTCTGCTGGAACTAATTAGATTTTTAACAAATTCTTTTCAATTTTAACAAAAAAAAATTTGCTTCGCGCGAAGAAATTCGCTAGTGGAACAGGCTTTTAGGGCGGAGCGAATTTCGCTTTGTTTTTGTCTAATTAGCCGTTCCACCCGAGAAATCACAAGGCAAGGAGAAATTCCGCTCCGAGCGGAAAATTCCGCTTAGTGGAAGGTTCGTCACTTTTCCGACCTCAAGCCGGTCTGTCTAACGAATTACCAGTTTGATTGCGTCTCGGAACGCAATACTGGACAGGGCAAATATTGCCGGTGTTTAGGAAGATACGGAAAACACGTTGTACTGTTTTCGGAAGAATAAACAAGTCTGATGCTATTCTCCTTGTTGATCGGTTGGGCAATAGCTTTTGCCACACTATTCTCCACGTTAATTAAATCATCTGAGCAAGGTTTTGGCATTTTGACCAAATAAAATCCAAATAGCTTCACTCCTTTGAAATTTTGTAAGCAGCTTGCATAATTAATCAGATGGGTTTTTTTTGGTTTTTTTATATATATATATATATATATATATATATATATATATATATATATATATATATATATATATATATATATATATATATTCCAAAGATACTGTATATATATACATTCCAAAGATACTGTATTTATTCTTTGTTAAATTTGTATTTTTAGAACACAGAGCTACAAAATGAAGGCAGTTCTGCTGTTATTAATTTTGCAATCATTTCATCTAATATATGGTCAAAATGGAGGTTTGTAGTACATGAATTATATAGTACAGTACCGTTCACGGGAAAGTTAACAGTCCCGTGCGGGAAGGGAAATTCTTCTTGGGGGAAGGGACATTTATCCCACGGGACGCGGGAATCACATGAGGGGTTGCTATCATTTGTTGGCTGTCTGTTGTGTCGTCAAGACAACTAAAATAGGAAGGTTAAACCACGACAGCAAGGAACGTATAGTAAAATTGAAGGAAGAAGGCAACACGTCATTTCAAATACTAAGAGTATTAGAAAGTGAAGGCGTTGAAATATCGAGAGTTGGATTGTGGAAGTTTCTTCGGTACCGAAAAGAAAAATAAGCGTTTCTATCGAAGTTCAGTTTAGATTTTATCGATGCTCAGATGGAACACAATGACGAGTTGATATCCCCAGGCCTTCAAACCATGATCGAAGCAAACTTTAGCTTGACGTTTTCGCAGTGCCGTAGCAAGCTCAATAATTGGGGGGGGGGCTGATATTCATATATTCGTATTCTGCGTTATTAATTTCTTTTGAAATCGATTGTTTTTATGGTCTGTGAACACGAATATATGAATATCAGCCACAACCCCCCCCCCCAATTTCGAGCTTGCTACGTTGCTGGTTGGCTACAGGTTCAAAATATTGTCAAAATATTGTCAACTCGTGAAAGAAGTGAACCAACCAAAGCGACTAGAATTTTTAAGAAGCGTTCCAATTGAAGTGTTGCTCAAATATTGATTCAATACATTACCTCGGGCTGACCAATTCATTTCATCAAGTTCCTCGAAATATTCATACACTTCCTAGTATAATTGTAAACTTCCTGTTGAATAGTTTGAATGCACCAATCACCTTTGTTGTTTGTGCAACTAACCAATCATAAATAGAAAGAAAGTGACCAGAAATGATCAAATACTTGGAATTGGCTCTTTCACAGGAAGTGTATGAATATCTCGAGGAACTTGATCAAATGAATTGGTCAGCCCGAGGTAATGTATTTAATCAATATTTGAGCAACACTTCAATTGGAACGACAGTAAATGGTCTTTGGTTCGTATATAAAACGAACTCAAAGTTGGAAGTAAAATGAAAACATTTAAAAGACATCTTGAGATGAGTAAAATTTATTCTATAGTTTTATGTTTGTTCATATAATTTACAAGGCACCATGCATGCATGTTTTATTTATACCTCGCATAGTGGGTCAATACCTCTGGACTTTCTGGAGAACGGCTATCGCTTCTTAACCAGGCGTTTTCTCTTTATCTAGCCTACATTTGTTTTGTGACTCTTACGGCATGCAGCTAGAGCAAATACCTGTAAAACAATAAAGACTATGGATTATAATAATGCAATCGATTTGCGGAGATCTGGACAAGCATCATGAATACAACTGACACTCCGCCCTTAATCTAGAAACTCAAAATCAATATTAATCACTTATGTGATCCGAGTGGTGGAAATACCCCATACTGTTTTTGCACATCTTTGCACATTTGCAAGCTATCAATCACATCAGAGCCCTTTACGGATTTTCGAGCTCCTGTGTGGGTTGGGTGATAACACGAACGTTTAGATGGCCTCCAAAGTCTTCCAAACTTGTGCCTGTGATAAGGACATATTTCCATTTTTTCTATTTTATCTTTTGTTACGTATAACATTCCGACTCTAACGAGAATCAGTTCTACTTCAGAAACGATTTCTCCAGAAATGTTCAAGCTTTCGAGGTGTTGCATGAAGAAAGCCGAAATATCTCACTCAGCCCTCGAGAGTCTCCACATAGTTTTTGGTCTCTCTCACTTAAAAAACATTTGCCAGACATAGTTAAAGAGAATAAAGGAAAAGCATGCCAAGCAACGAAAGCGCCGTGTTATTTACACTTGAATCAGTTATTGAAACCGGATATTAAAAGAAACATTGAAATCGACAACACTTTTAATTACCACCGAAATATGCATATTATAAACAAAAGCCAAAACTACAAATATATTTCAGACATTTCAAATACAAACTACTTTGAAATAATGGTCACTGAATTTTATTTAATAAATAATAGATTAAGGAAAAGTTATATAACGCCTTCTTTAAACACAAACATTATTGATTTGTTGCAGAAGTTTTAATTGACAGGTGACCACCGAGCGGGGATGTATATATATAGACACTTTAATAAAGTTTATTATTATTATTATATTTATTATTATTCAACTAATAAGCTTGAAACTTGTGCTCCCATTAAGCTTTGCGCGCTTACAATTTAAGGTTTAGAGTTTAAGGTTTGCAAAGGACAACCTTTTTAATTTGGCTGTATATATTAATAGAAAAGTGCGTTCTTGACCACCTATTCAATTACCGATTGTTTTATCTTAATTACCTGATACTATCTTGTTATATATAGTCGCTTGGTGTGTGTGCTTTTCAGGGGTTTTCATCAGTACAGCAATTTTCATTGGCTACACATTCTTTACTTATAATTGCGTCTTCCTCATCATATTTTTAGAATTAGGTTTGAAGGATTCATGCAAACAATTCAGATACAGTAAAAGGTTGGTTTTACACACGCTGGTATAATAACTTAGTTTACTCCAGCACATGACTGGCGCCTACTTGCGAGCTGTAGCTACTAAATGTTTTTAAAGGCACAGTTCAGCCTTTTGAATGATGGTTTTTTAAGGCGCATTTCAGCCCTCTTAATTACAAACTATAACTAGGAAAATCAATTAAGCATAATTCAAGATCAGCAAACTTAGCTAATGTTTTTAAATTAAAAATGCTTTATTTAATTGATTTTCCTAGTTAGTTTTTTCAATTAAAAGGGCTGAAATGCGCCTTAAAAACCATCATTGGATATTATTTCCTCTTTATATTTAAATTATATGCAACTCATGATAGAAAGGCTAGTATAATAATTGTACCGTATATATTCCCCTATAATATATATATATATATATATATATATATTCCCCTATAATATATATATATATATATATATATATATATATATATATATATATATATATATATATATATATATATATATATATATATAATTTAATTTCTTAACTTAAAATATAGTCACAACTCTGAGTTTCACGCTCAATGCGATCTTCAGGCGACAATGTTTAAATTTGAAATTTAAAAAATTGTCGCCTGAAGATCGCATTGAGCGTGAAACTCAGAGTTGTGACTATATTTTAAGTTAAGAAATTAAATTATTTGCTCTACGTTATTAAATGGTATTGAGCACTCTTTCTACAATGTAAAATTTGATCATCTTTGGTCTCATTAATATTATATATATATATATATATATATATATATATATATATATATATATATATATATATATATATATATATATATATATATATATATATATATATATATATTTATATATACATACAAAGAATAATAAATATTCCAAACAAAGCTTGTAAAATTTTGGGTATATAGAATATGCTTTAATTTGTTTATTTATATCATTTATAGATCTAGAGCGAAGGGTTTGTCGAAATGTTACGCGGAATGACGATGGTAATGTTTCGCCGAATTCCCGGGTCTAGACATATATAAATGATATATTTTAACGAAAGTTAAAGAACCCACTAATATGAGAATAAACATGCTGAATAATCATTGAAGGTAACAAGCCTCTTAATATTTCCCCGAAAATCTTTAGTTAAAGCACTTAAATTTGAATATGCATAGTATAATATATGTATATACCCTTTTTTGTATCATATAATATTTATATATTAATAAAAGTATTTTTTACAGCAATACAGGAAATGGCGTTTACCTTATAAGAACTGGCGTCAATGAACACACTAAAACCTACTGTCAAATGTCGTCACTTCCAGGTTGCTCAGGTGGAGGATGGACATTGGTAATGAAAATTGACGGCAAGAAGGTAGCATGAAACAAAAGTGTAGTTGAAAGTATATTGTTTTCGATAACAGGCTGCATGATATAAGATATATTTTGCACTTTAAAATGGCGAGAGCTTACGTCCAAAATATTTGATCGGTTATAATTATAGAAACGATTTTGTTGGCACCTCATTCGATTGAATAATAGTTAAAGGGTCTTATAGATGGATATTATCGAGTTAAAATTTATATAGCTACATTTATTACAGCTAAACCATGCATGCAGGAACAGTTGCAAAAAATGCAACTATTATCATTGCAACTATTATCTGGAGCGAGGGGGATTTGGCGAAATATTACCCGAAGTGAGGGTAATATTTCGCCGAATCCCCCGAGCGGAGGGTTTATAAATGATATATTATACCGAAAATTTAAAAGCCTCCAAGTTGAGAATTAAAAACTCGACACATACCTTCTTGAATACGATGTTTTATTTTCGGATTAACGCAAGTATCGTCGCTTTCCTTTCGAATTATATATCGTTTGGAATACTAATGACAAATTTTTCAAAATTTGCTTCAAAATTTTGAAAAAGCCCCAGGTTTTACGTTTGAAGTTGAATTATTCATCACTCATTAATTATCACTTATTTACTGAGACCGAGGGAAACAGTGTGTTTTGTGGACCCGAGACCGTCGATGTTTCCCGAGGCGAAGCCGAACGAAACATCGACGGTCGAGGGTCCACAAAACACACTGCTTTCCCGAGGTCTCAGTAAATAAGTGTTTTATTATATATCAATAGTCAAAGAAACAACAATTAAAGAACAAATGAACGTAAATACATGAAATATTTTATTGTTAAAACGTTATATTAAACACTGGCTACACTGCAGTTACTTAAAGCGAAAGTTTTAATTATACGTACTAGGCATGTCCAAAGGTCGCATCTTCACGTGATGGCGCACGTGATTTTTTTTGTTATTCGCCGGTCGATAACGTATTATCTCCCTCTCGCGCTGTTCCGAGGGAGACAGCCTAATTTCGTCACTCTCACGTGATATGCTCCCAACCAATAAAACACTAGAAAAATGCGACTTTGACTATTGATATATAATAATACTATTTATGTTTTGTCGGCCATCTTGTTGTCATGCGTGTTGTCCCGCGTGGTCTACGCGAATAATGTTCCACCCCATGTTCCCCGGGCTACATTTGTTAGACCTAACCACGAACAGATACGGACTCTGCAGCTCAGTTGGTTAGAGCACTGCACCGGAATCGCAAGACCGCAGGTTCGATTCGTGCCAGGGACCTAAAGCTGCATTTTTCGCAGCTGTTCCTGCATGGTTGGGTCTAATAAATGTACGTATATAAATTTCCACTCGATAATTCCCATCTACAAGACCTTAGAAAACTTATAGAACCGCTTTGAAATACAGGTTACATTGTATGGCAAGCTCAACACCGTAGAATTCGTATTTCTTCGTAATGGATACGGCCAAGCCATTTCGATTTACAATTTCAGGGTAGAATTTTATGCAAAAACTCGCATGCAGTAGCGCCTTTAGCGAGGCCATGTTAAATGATTATTAATTGTATAGTCTTTTTAATTATTTTCTCCGTTTTTCTCGTAAATGTCATCATCAACCAATCTCAAAGTCTGTTCATATAGGTAAGTGGCTCCCCTATACAATTGCCGCGGTAGTCGGCATGTCCGGCGAATTCATGCAGTTCAATTCAGAATTATTTAAATTAAAGACCTATTCGTGATATCATGAATTAACTAGGTTAAGTTATATTTTCTATATTGTTGACAATATAAATGGTTAAATTCTTATTTGCATGTTTATACATTTATACAGGCAACATTTCGATATTCTTCTTCCTTATGGAGCAACAAACAAAGTTACAATCCTTCTGGAGGACAGAGTGGCTTCGACAACGTGGAAACAAAATTACCAATATATTGGAGGGCTTCATTTAAAGAAATATGTATTGGAATGAAAGTTGGTAGCGCTCTTCGTTTTATCTCTTTGAAATATCCTGCTAATTCGCTATACAGTTTGTTTGCAGATGGCAAATATCGTGCAACAAATCTTGGCCGCCAAAAATGGAAATCGCTTATTCCGTCTGCGATATCATCACTGCAACTAAAATGCAACCACGAAGGCTTCAATGGATATGCTGAAAACGTCAAAGCTCGCATAGGTATTATTGGCAATGAAGGAACTGATTCATGTGTTTCTTCGGACTCATACATTGGTGTGGGAACCACAAATACTAATAACAACCGTTTATGCGATTTCCATTTCTCGCTTAATTCAGCTGGCAATGTTGCAGGTTGCAAGGCCGACAATGGTAATAGGGATACAAAGGCAATGGGATATATATTGGTCCGATGAACAATCATTGGAAGTGGCTCTTCTTAAGGAACTGCCATTGTTAAAATTGTTTAAAAATTGGGTATGTTAGAACGATGCATGAAAATTGTATTATTTTTCTCTCATGCATACGTAGAAGTAGATTTTATACCCAAAATAAAATCGTCCAGTTTCATAATTCATAACACAGTCTATAAATTTGTTTCGTTTTCTGTGATTTCCATTTCTCACTGTGATTTCTAGAATTATTAGGGTAGCAGAAGTCAAATCTGAACCTCTCTAATTTTTGCTTTTGCATGTGTTTAACTTCAAGCGAGATCGGTATTGCATTTAATTTAATATAGTATAACCAATTACAATGGCAATGCGCGACCTTTCAGACTTCAAAAGTTATTAAAATACTCATTAATAATTCATAAACCTTGTGGCAAATCATGTCAGCCATAATATGTCACGTGGACTGACTTTATATCTGATAAAGCATGCGGCATTATATAATTGTCCATCCTAATTAGTATGATTATGTAATGGTTCATCCTAATTAATATTCTTTTGTAGTCGTACTGTATTTTAAGCTATTCAAAACACTCGTTGTCGTGTTTTATCAGACATAAAACGCTCGGCTGCGCCTCGTTGATGGCGACTAAATGTTGCGACTAAATGATGGCCGCTGGTGTGAAATAGTCTGGATTTATCTTGTCTTCTGTGTGCTGTATGCAAATCAGTCTTTACTGATTGCAGAGATATATTGACAATGTATTATTACATCAGCTATTATGATGTGGTTAAATACATTTAAGCAAGGTTAACGGCGGATTTGTTATTCAGGCCACATCCACTGAGGGGAGTACAGTCTGTGACGTCATATCGATCTTGTGATCAGTGCTTCAGTCTGGGTATTCATTCTGCCATTGTATGCTTTACCTAGCTGCAGCTAGCTCCTTTTGCTGCTAATATTACTGATTATTGCTCTCATTGTTGCTGTGCAGCTGCTATGGCAATACTTCTTGCCATCAAGTCTATAGTTGCTGCAGCCTTGGACACAAACGGCACCTGCCTCCAAACACTAATACTCAGCCGTTAAACATGGTTACAATCGCCCAGACCAAATGGAAACCTGATTTTAGTGTTATATATGAAAATACTCCTCTTTTAATTATAATTTTCTGCTAATATATATTTTTGGTCGACGTTAATATCTTGTCAGTTCCATATTCTTATTGCGGCCGAGCGTCCTTTCGACCCAGTCTTTCGCGTGACCTATGTATTGTCGAGATCTCGACTTGTGTCTGTCTGTCTGTCTGTCCATTTTTCCAGGGGAAATAATTAAGCTTCAGGGAAATTTTTTAAATGAGGGGGACGGGCAAACATAATAGGGACCTTAAGCAAACAGGACGGGAACGCGACGACGACGGTTATTCACACAGTGATATTCCTGATCTCGTACAAAAGAAATGAATAATTAAAAGCCCCACGGGAGTTAGAGGCGTTGTGTTAGGGCTTTTTACAACGGCAAACCACAGATTTTCACGTCTTGTGTACAACGCAAACATGTCAAGACGCGACAAGTGAAACTACAAATTTGCTCAGCAGACGCATTTTTAACCATAAAGCCTTTGTTATAATCTCTTCAAACTGAACTCAATTCATATATGCATGCAGTGGATAATACACAACAACTCTTCTTCGCAATAATTTATTTGTTTTGGCTGTCGTCGTCGCGTTGCCGTCGTACATGCTTAAGGTCCCTAATTTTGTATTGCGCACACATGCTTTCAATTCAGTTCCCAAAATTTTACGAGCTTTTTTGTATGGATGCAAACGATATGATCTACAACATTTAGAATAATTCAGGTAAGGATGGTTTTACTTCTTTCTGTCTGTTGACATACATGAAGGTGTTGAACTTTTTAGTGTTCGATATAAGGGTATTTCATTAGTTTACAGCCCACTAATCGATTGGTCAATGTCCTAATACAAGGAGTCAAAGTGTAATAATATTTTTAGCTTGATGTTTTAATATGTAGCGGTTTGTTAAGGCGATAAATTCATAGTGTTCAATAATAAATTTTCAAGGTGATTTCAGATATTGATATGCTACATTTAAAATTTTGTAAACGTATTTTAGTGGTCCACCCCAAATCTACCAATCTAGCAGTGCTAGCTGAACTAGGCAGATTACCAATGTTTGTACAAATTTCAACTTTAGTTATCAAATACTGGTTAAGAATAAATAGTCCAAATTACAAAAAGCAATTAGTAGGTAAGGCAGTATAGGTGTGCATTCAATCAGGGTGTGAAATTCTCTGATTTCTTACTACATAACGCTTTCAAAAACGCTTTTTTGCCATTTTTGTTAAATCCGGAAAATTTTCAATAACTGATTCAAAGTGCCAGTGGAAGTTGTTCAATTGAACTCTAATACTTCATGTAGTGTATTCATATAGTGTAAAACATTGCCGCCATGCTTGAACGACTGCGAAATGCTAATATGAATGATTGAACGTCGAATGCTAATATGGTAGACCATGTTGTAGACAACGACTTTGTCGATTTAGAGAATATAGAGCGAGCCGGGCCTAGTGAACCAGAGTCAACTGTAAGTGGAGAAGAATCAGAAGACCTTCAAGACCAAGAAGGCAGTCAATCTCCCGCTGTGCAGGATTTCAACGCGGGAAAAGAGGAATCTCCATGGCCCAAATTGAATACATTTTTTGTGTTTGTTGTAAACGCAACAACCACATCCCGTTCGAGTGCCTTTTGTGTAAACCGAAGAAAACCGTATATATTTTTACCGTATATATACCGTATAAACTTTAAGTTTTGAAATAGATTCAAAACATTATAATTGATGGGTGTATAACCGTTGAGTTGTTCAATCGTTTTTCTTCACTTTGCGAACACTGGACATTACAAAATCACGACTGTGTAATTTGTAATTAATTACATTTCTAAATGGTAATTTTGTTACTGTAATTAATTATTTTTGTTTTTAGTAACGACCAGAAGGCTCTTTTATAACAAATTTAATAAATTGTAACAACGTTTTGGAGTTTACTCCATCATCAGGTTACATTTATACGCACTTAAAAAAAAACTGGGTTTTTTTAGTGCGTATAAATGTAACCTGATGATGGAGTAAACTCCGAAACGTTGTTACAATTTATTAAATTTGTTACAAAGAAACCCTTCTGGTCGTTACTAAAAACAAAATTATTACAGTTAAATGAGGCTTAGAGAAAGTTCGCTTCTAATCACATTGTAATTAATTACTTTCCTGAAGAAGTAATTGTTATCAGTAATTTATTACATTTTAAAGACAGTAATTTTATTTGTAATTAATTCCTTTTTGGACGGTAATTTTGCAGCACTGGATATAATACCATATGGAAAGATCAGATTCAACAGTGCAACAAATTACGAATCTTAAACCTTGTAAAACCAAGTTGGCATGTTGAAAGTTATTTGTTTTCGGTCAGAAATGTAAAACACCGCCAAGCGGTTACAAGGTTTAGGATATCTGCACATAGATTTCCAGTTGAAGTTGGTCGATATGCTAATATTGACTATAAGTTACGCCTATGAATTTTCAGCCTTTTTCACCTCACATGACAGAACAAATACCTCCTCTTTCTTCATGAATAACCACAGCTGCAACATAAACAAAATGTGTAGTTAACGTAACCAATAATCTGGCTATATATGTTTAACGATGCATGACGTGATCCTGGTTAAATTTACATACAATTTTAGGTGGATAAATAACCAGGGGGCCCTGGTGGAATTCCGTACATCTGCAAACCCACATCTCATGGGAGCACAACAAAACGGACTTATGATGTGCAAACAAATGGCTTCATAATCAGTTCTCAACACTTGAAATATTAAAGTAGAGAAAATTTACAGTCAAAATACAAGAGCTTTCCCACTTCCGCTTCTGTAATCTGTTGATATTGTACTGTACTGTATACTGTAATGGTTACCGATTTATAGATAAATACGCAGATTTTATGTGCTAAAATGCAGCGAATATAACGAAAAATGCATCCTTCGCCAGAAATTATCAAACAAAAACAAAGTAAAGTAAAGTTTGTCGCCATATTTGTTGATAATTTGGTAATCGCTACAGAAAAACAGAACAATTTACAGAAAATTACAACAATAGCGGAAGTGGGAAGGTTCTTGTATTTTGACTGTAATCACGTTCTCGCTTAAAGTGTATATCACATGAAATTTCTTATTTTCTCAAATGAAAGAACTCTTTAAGCTGTATAGTGTAACTTATTTTTCAGTTTCTTCTTTTTATGGTTTGTTCCCGAGATATTTCAAATTGTTTGATATGTAAATGATGTGAATATGTCCGCTAATTTATGACGTCATGTTGGTTACAAGCTCTTCAAAATGGTTGAATATCACTGCTATCATCCAGGATAATAATTTCAAACTTCACTCACTGGTAAATGTGATGAATAACTGGAGAAAAACTTGAACTTATGTCAACAGTTTTTAGAGTTAATACATTTATAACTAGAGGGCACTCAGAGACTGCATACCTCCGCCCGTTACTCGGAAGTGAAACGCAACCTTGGAATTTCCTAAGAAATCCACTTTATAATTCTTAAGCATAAAAGATTTCAGGCCCCCGCGAATTGAAATTGAATTGCTAAGTAAGAGTTAATTACCGAGAACGAGGTTTCTTAGCGAGATACAACCCGAGGGGCGTGTCCCGAAGAAAGCATCCCGAGGGCCGTAGGCCCGAGTGATGCTTTCTGAGGGCAACACTCCCGAGGGATGTATCTCGCTAAGAAACCGACGTTCGAGGTAATTAACTGACTTAGTTCAAATTTGTAAGGATTTTAAAAAATGATCATACTTACGCCCACTACTCATTAAGGAATTCAAAGGTACATGCATGTACAGTATAAGCATAAACTAAAATTATTACAAGGCAGAACAAGGAAATCAGTGAATGGTCAAGTGTATGCACAAGGTACAACAAAAGGAAATTAAGGAAAGTCACGCTTTATAAATTTTCTTTTGTCTGTATACGTTAAAGCATTCTATATGATTTGTGTACTTCATTAACACTTATAGCAGTCATATTTTGTTAATTAACTAGGGAAATGAATTAATATTCTAAATTATTGTTCGTACAGCATACTGTAAATTCATATAGAAATTTAGCTAGACATGTAGATGAACCATTTTCTTCAGTTATGTATGTATGCATGCATGAAGAATGAGCGGTGGTTAAACTATGAACGACACAAACAGCGACGAAGATATCTTTATACCGCAAAAGGATGGACTGGTCATCGCGACATAAGATCGTTGCAGAAATATGAAAGACCCGATATTAAAACAAAACTGATTGAAATATCAAAATCTTTGTATTGTCGCGTTAGCAGGGGCTGCAAAGTTAACAGTGCGAGTGAAGACCTGATGCCGATGGCTGAGAAGAGAAATTCTACGAAGGAAGAGATGCAGCATAAACATATGGAAAGGAAGAGAGCACGGCTAGAAATGCCGGAGGGAAGTTCTTTTTAACTTCTATTAATTTGAACAATTTGAGTTTGAGTTTTATCGTACGAAATATATAGCTATAGCGTGTTAGGGACAGAGTGGAACAACTGGTACATGTATAGTATACGGTACATTGTCAGTGTAATTATTAACTTTTGTAATGTTTTGATTGTAGTGTGTGTAAAAGCAGTAAGTCGGTGCATTTCTGCATCGGGGTTTATCTGTATAAAACCCGGCTTTCCTAGGGTTTTATCTATATAAAGCCGGGTTTTATATAGATAAAACCCGTGAATTTATAATTATTAATTCAATTCTATTCATCAACCCCACTTTTCCCTGGAGAGATATCAAATCCCTCCCCTTGCTTTAAGAATCTTACCCAAATAAAACCCGACTGAGAACAATAGAAATCCGCACAAATTTGAACTAATAGAACATATTACTGTTGTTGCACTGTACAGTACTTGTAAAATAAAAACTTATTAAGTGTCATTAAATAAATGCATAAATTTTGCTTTATGCACTCGCGCGTGCAGTAATTTTCACAGTTGTGCTATTTTAAATTCCCAGGCAGCTAAAATCTTTTGTCTTTAAAACAATGTCGATTTCTTGGGAAATTCCGAGGTTGCGTTCTTTTTATACACCCTGTATTGAAGTAATCTAATGTTGTTAGAATTTGAATGGCTGGCACTTTGCTGAACGTAATAATGCGTAACTCCGTAAGCCTTGTTTTAGACATTGAATTTCGGTCGCGTGAAATGCAACTAAGACAATAGATAATGAAGGCCGAAGCTTAATGAGGTTTATCATCTCATTATTGTCTTAGCACTGAGTGCATAAATTATACACGTCCTAATTACGCATTCAGTAATATTTTTTGTTAATTGACCGGGAAAAGCAAGACAAAATTTTGTTCATTTCTCGTTCAATTTTTAACCAAATTCAACCAAATTTTAATCAGTTCTCCCTTAGCCGATGGGAAATGCATTCAAAAAATTTCGTACGGATATGTTTGGTATTTCTTGAGTTATCGTGCTCACAGACAAACACACACACACACATACACACACACACACATACACACACACATACAAACCCAGATGATTACATAACCTCCTGGCGGAGGTAACTAGAGGGCACTCAGAGACTGCATACCTCCGCCCGTTACTCGGAAGTGATACGCAACCTTGGAATTTCCTAAGAAATCCACTTTATAATTCTTAAGCATAAAAGATTTTAGGCCCCCGCGAATTGAAATCGAATTGCTAATAGATCATATTACTGTTGTTGTACTGTACACTACTTGTAAAATAAAAACTTATTAAGTGTCATTAAATAAATGCATAAATTTTGCTTTATGCACTCGCGCGTGCAGTAATTTTCACAGTTGTGCTATTTTAAATTCCCAGGCAGCTAAAATCTTTTGTCTTTAAAACAATGTCGATTTCTTGGGAAATTCCGAGATTGCGTTTTTTTTATACACCCTGTATTGAAGTAATCTAATGTTGTTAAATGTTGTTAGAATTTGAATGGACTGGCACTTTGCTGAACGTAATAATGCGTAACTCCGTAAGCCTTGTTTTAGACATTGAATTTCGGTCGCTTGAAATGCAACTAAGACAATAGGTAATGAAGGCCGAAGCTTAATGAGGTTTATCATCTCATTATTGTCTTAGTACTGCGTGCATAAATTATACACGTCCTAATTACGCATTCAGTAATATTTTTGTTAATTGACCGGGAAAAGCAAGACAAAATTTTGATCATTTCTCGTTCAATTTTTAACCAAATTCAACCAAATTTTAATCAGTTCTTCCTTAGCCGATGGGAAATGCATTCAAAAAATTTTGTATGAATATGTTTGGTATTTCTTGAGTTATCGTGCTCACAGACAAACACACACACATACACACACACACATACACACATACAAACCCAGATGATTACATAACCTCCTGGCGGAGGTAACAAACCCCGATGATTACATAACCTCCTGGCGGAGGTAACCAGTGTAAGTCGAGCTTGCAACCAATATGACTCCATAAATTAGCGGACATATTCACACTCATTTACATATCAAACTAGAGGGCACTCAGAGACTGCATACCTCCGCCTACGCGCAAAATATTGAAGTAATCTATTGTTATTAGAATTTGAATGGCTTGTGCATATATTATGCACGTCCTAATTACGCATTCAGTATAAGTTTTATTTAATTGACCGGGAAAAGCAAGACAAACTTTTGTTGTTTCTCATTCAATTTTTAACCAAATTCAACCAAATTTTAATCAGTTCTTCCTTAGCCGATGGGAAATGCACTCACAAAATTTCGTACGGATATGTTTGGTATTTCTTGAGTTATCGTGCTCACAGACAAACACGCACACACACACACACACACACACACATACACACACACATACAAACCCAGATGATTACATAACCTCCTGGCGGAGGTAACAAACTGAAATATCTCGGGAACAAACCATAAAAACAAGAAACTGAAAAATAAGTTACACTACAGCTTAAAGAGTTCTTTCATTTGAGAAAATAGGAAATTTACATCAAATTTCTTTGACAAAGTTCTTTGTTCCTCGGGGTTTCAGGCGCTATTGCGATCTTCGGGGAAGTCAACATATATTTGATTCATTAAATCCTGTTTTCAAATTTCAAGTGTCTGGGTAGCAAAACAGAAAACCGAAACGGGTTAAATATAATCGATACTTACGAGGCCTGTTTTGAAGTTGCTGGATTTGTACATGGGCCTGCTGAATTTGCTGATTGAGATTGTTTTGCATCTGTTGATATTGTTGCATCTTGTTGTTTCTTTCAGTGACAAGTTCATCTTGGTGTTTTTTCATATTTGCCATTTCCGCACTGTGTTGATTTTTCAGAGCACTTCGTTGTTCGTTTATAGCCCTTTTTCTGTCTTCGTTTAACTCGTTAATCTTACGCTCTGTTGCTTGTTGCATCGCTCTAACCTAGGCAAAATAGTTAAATCTATAAGTAGAGAATACTAAGTTTTTTAGTAAAAATATCAATTTTTTTGGAACCAGAACTAGCCATTAGCTATAGTTGACCACCTGGGGCCGGTTGTGTAAAACTCTTAATCACTTTTTTAATCACTATTTTGTAGTTAAATAGTGATTAACTGTCAAATAGGCGCTTCTTATTGGATGACATTTCCACTTAACTATGATTAACTTTAATCACTTTTTTATACAACCATGCAGCTCCTGAATGAAAGATGGGGAATGAGTCAGACGTTCTAGAATATCATATACAAGAATTACTATAGATAGCCTCCTCCGCAGGCCTCTATAGGTTTAGCCTGCGAATGGGTTTTGAAAAAATATTTCTAGGAGAGAGGCCTGCCATAAATCGAACAAAATGGACGTGTCAATGTACCTTAGTGGCCGTGTCAAAGTACCCCACTCCCTAAGTAGCCTTTTGACCATAATTCAGATATTCATTTTGAAATCTTCGGGCAAAGAGCGAAGATTGCGAGTAAAAACTTTAAAAATGTTTTAAATTTAAATTTTAAATGCGTCGAAATATTCAAGGTATACGAAAATTAGTTGGTCAATTGAAAGGATTATATATCGCAAATGAATGTCTCTCGCGGTCTAAAAACGACGTGCAAATTTTGAATCGCTCGCTTGAAGCAGCCAAATGTTTACAAGTCTACAAATGTAATGTCTGTAATGAATGTATGAGTTCAGAGTTCAGCCGAGGAACTACAATTTGAGGAAATTATCTCGCATAATTTCGAACGCAAAACGAAGAATGGAACGATACGAAAGGTATAATTAATTTGTTTAATAAAGAGATTGTATTAAATTGTATCGTTTTCTGGAATAATATTTTGACATGTCTAAGGGGTTGGATTTTGATTATATTTTACTAATAATTCAGTCAAACCATCAGGCATTTGGGAACATGCTCAATGAATTGATATATAAAAGGAAAAGATCTATCTGTTGAAGCAACCATTTCAATAAGTGAGGAGAGATACAAATTATCAACTACAGATCAACTATACAAATTTGATTACTACAAACATGTACATCAAGATTTTGTTGTCATCTTAAACCTGGTGTCCTGGTTTACATGTGCCTGTGGTATGCCTGCACTATCATTGTTTACAGCTGTTGCTGCATACATTCTTTTGACGCGAATTATTTGGTTGAACTTCTAACGACAATAGGCCGCCGATATACCGCATGGTATATGTGAACCAGGCTTCACTCGGTTGAATAGTTAATATAATAATCATGTAAATATGATAAACCATTAAGTTGAATTGTGATACTATGCCCGTGAAAAGCAGTTTACATGTAACAACCTCTTTCTAATATATACTATATGCCTAGTACTCCTAGTCGTGTTACATTTACTGGCTACATGACATCCATTTGATAAATAAAGGAATTTATGATATATCTGCATTATTCTCTAACATTATATGTATCTCCCTTGTTCATGTTCAAACGAAATTGCTCTTGACATATATTGCTTTGAAATGTAGATTATAGGAAATCTAGATCGGCATTTATATCATGTAAGATGGACTTCATGACTTAGATTCTGCACTTCACTTGGTGGAATTAATATTAGAATGTTAGGGTTTGGAATCCAAGTGAGAATATATACATTTTAAGACCTAACCAGGAACGACTGCGAAAAATGCAGCACAAGGTCCTCTGGTAGGAACCTACGGCCCTGCGATTCCGGTGCAGCGCTCTAACCAACTGAGCTACAGAGGCCAGCTGTTAAGCTGTAACCGTAAACTAGTTTCATATTAATCTGACACTGCAATCGAGCAACGAAAAATTCGTTGGCTCGAGCGGGATTTGAACTCGCATCTTCGGGTATCTAGACCGCCGCTCTACCTATTGAGCTATCGAGTCAACAGGGATTGGTAGCGAGTCTTATTCAATTTAAGTGCACGAAATATTTTCGTGACGACTTAACGCTTGTCTTTGAGGACGCGCAGTGTTTCAATTCTATTTCAGAACCATCCTCAGAGATAGGAAAACTAGTTTCATATTAATCTGACACTGCAATCGAGCAACGAAAAATTCGTTGGCTCG